CAACTTCTTGACTGATCCTGATGCCAACTTTTCCTTCTGTGCTGGGTGGCAGGATGTTGCCTTTGTCATCAGTAACCTGTAGGAAGAGGCCTGTGAATCTCACCCTGCAGGATGCCTCAGTGTGTGTGGAGGTTGTCTGGATTGCTTGTGCTGTTCTCTCTGTTAGCACTGCCCTATCTTCATCTGTCTTCCTGATGAACTTGATTCCTCCTTTATTGTTCTCACAAGTATATTTATTTCTATAGCTGCATGCTTTACATTCAGACCAATGAGGGTTTGAATCTTGACTCCACCACACACTAACTGCATGCCAATTAATCCCTCTTGATCTCCTCTTGATCTCCTCCATCAAAGGGCAATAATGATAACACTTACCTCCCAGAGTGCTTGTAAGCATATGGAAAATTCTGCATAATACAAGGCACACACCATGTGTTCAATGAATGATGACTACTGGCTATTACTCAAGCTCCAAGAGGAGTCAAGGGAAAGATTCTCTTTCTGAAGCATTTCTCCCATACTTCCATTGCAGCCCACAGGGCATTATAATTATTTTTGCTTGTCTGTTTCCTTCAGTAGATAGTGAGCATCCCAAGAATAGAGATTGCCTTATTCATCCCTGAGCTTCCAACATCTGGAACAATACCCATCAAAAATAGCAAGGACCACAGCAGCTGCAATGTGAGCATATACTACAGGTTAGACAGCAGCCAGAGCATTATATACTTCTTTTTATTTACCTTATCACAATCTGTTAAGATTGGCACTATAATTTCCATTTAAAGGTGGGGGAGCTGAGGTGAGAAAGCATACATAGGATCCCGATGGTCTTAAAGCTATAATTGGCAGAGCGGAGACTTGGACCCAGGTCTGTGCTCCTGGGATAGGAAGATCTTTGCCCACTGCCACATCACTGCTCACACTCTAGGCATGTGGAAAACGTTGCACACATGAATGAACAGATGTGAAAGTGTTTTGAGAAATTAAGCACCATCTAGTGCTGCAAATATTGGAGTCATGGATGTAGTGTGTTGTCCTGGCCCACCATCCTCCTTGTCCAAATATGACCCGTAGGCCATTCAAACATAGGCCCAAAGTGTCACCATTTTTCAGGTCTGGAAGCAGACAAATTAACTGAATTGCTATTATACTTTTTTGCAAAATAATGTCAGTTGAGTATGTGAGTTGGCACTAAAATAATAATTTTGCACAGGGCCTGGGATAGCAGTCATCCTCTATGTGCTAGAGGGATAATGGAGGCAGAGGGGGAAAGTGGCTCTGTCCAACATTGGAAATGGATTGCAAATGTGTTGGAAGAGATGCTTACCCACACTGTAACTGATGAGGTCCTTGAACTTCCGGACATGCATAGTATTCTAAATGCCCCAACCACCTGGCAGCTCAGTGATACTCTGGAATGACACTGTTTGTGTGTATATGTGTTTGGTATATACAGAAAGTATCTGCTCCCTTATCCACCCTGCTAGTATTCCCCAGTCAAACCTGTGAGTTGTCCTCCTAAATACCAAGCAAGGAACTTTTGGAGCCAGCTTCCACTTGCCTTTGCAGCCCTAGGGAGGGTTAGTGGAGCTGACAGTACTTGCTGGAGGAGGTGGTCTCCATGTTGCTGGAGAGAGTCTCCTATCCCACCCACCTTCTGTGGCTCCTCTGAGCTGATGACCACAGGGACAGTGTTAAAACAGCCTTAGACCCCTTTTTAAGGTTTTGTCCAAGAGTTTTCAGCACATTGGTCCTGTGGTAAGATGATGAGTTGTACATTTTCTTTCTGCAGATAGATTTGGGACAAATTAGCCTAGAACTCTAGAACCTCTGGTTGGCATCAAACAATGCTGTGCATGCGATGGGGCTGTGTCCCGCACATGTGGCATAATTCAGCACATCTGCTGGGCTCAGTCGCTGAGCATATCATGACCATCCAGAAGGGACCTGTCCACTTTGAAAGGAAAACGAATCCCAGGACCCCAAAATCACTAAGCCAAAGGGAAAACTCAAGTTGGGAACTGCATCAGTTGAAACTGCCTCCCATTTTATTCCTAAATAAGAGCTAAAAAGATAAAAAACAAAACAAAACCACATGCCTCCCCTGCAATTTTCCCACTAAAAAATTCCTTGTGGGCCCCAAAGATCATTATTGTAAAACAGTTCTGTTAAATTTCAACCTGACATTGATAGCTCATCTTCACAGGTATCGGACAAAGAACAGAACTCAAAATCATCCCTCTGCTCTCCTGAGACAAATGCGTACCCAATTGCTTTCTCTGACTTATGTTTATCTTATGTAAAAATGCAGATTCACTGATCTAGATGAATGTGCAAGTGACTCTTCCTCTACTCTTCTCTCACATGTAAACAGCTGATCAAAGACTCACAAGAATGCAACCATTTGCCTCGTATCTGCCCACACCTTTAAAAAATTTCTTCCTGGCCGGGCGCGGTGGCTCAAGCCTGTAATCCCAGCACTTTGGGAGGCCGAGATGGGCGGATCACGAGGTCAGGAGATCAAGACCATCCTGGCTAACGCGGTGAAACCCCATCTCTACTAAAAAATGTACAAAAAACTAGCTGGGCGAGGTGGCGGGCGCCTGTAGTCCCAGCTACTCGGGAGGCTGAGGCAGGAGAATGGCATGAACCCGGGAGGCGGAGCTTGCAGTGAGCTGAGATCTGGCCACTGCACTCCAGCCTGGGCGACAGAGCGAGACTCCGTCTCAAAAAAAAAAAAAAAAAATTTCTTCCTTTTCCTCCAATATCTGCCCTTTCCCCTTTAAATATTGAAGCCCTCAAAATCATCGTTGGAGAAAGGCACAAACCTGTTTCCCAGGCGCATGTCCTTAACCTTAGCAAAATAAACTTTTAAATTAATTGAGACCTGTCTCAGATACTTCCTGGTTTGCACCACCTACCGTTTCTGACTGCCCATAGACGTTGTAGAGCAGAAGGCCCGTCCGTCTTTTCCACTCCTCCTGGTCCTTGGGCCACAGGACCTCCCCACCAGTACAGCAGTGCTCCAGGGCAGGGAACCTGATACTTAGAGGAAGACAAGGTGCCAGGCATTGGTGAGCCACCCCGGCTCTGTGCATTCAGAGCTCTTAGGTCTGTCACTCAGATCATTCATCCTTCTAGTTCCTCACTTTCTTATTTGCCTTTTCATCACTCACTCCTGCAGTCCCTGTGAACTATTCTGGCAGCGGGGGGTTGGGTGGTGGTGAGGCTATTGTGTTCAATTTGGAATGTTTGGATTAAATTTGAATATTAATGTAACAAGAGGGAGAACTGTGTGTTTATCAGAACTCATCTTGGGGAAGCATTCTGTATAGCTAAGAAGGACATTTTTATAATCATAATGGGGTAAAGGATGAGATCTTAAGGACATGCTAGGGTGATAATAGAACCATATATTCTTTTATGGAGCCTACACTGTGCTAACTAACGGGCTTTTGTATTTCTGAATGGGGAATGCATGTTAGGGGTTGGAAATGAATTGCTCAGGACATCAGAGCAGATTGAGCTGAGTGTAGGGAAAGAGACAGAGAGAAGTGTTACAGAGAACAGCCCTGACAGAAGAAATTTCAGAAAAAAAGAGAAAAGGCTGATGTGAACAGAAAAAATTAAAATATTTTACCCCAAAATATATTTCTTTGACATATTTTGAAATGGCTGCCACTTGGCTAGCAAATAGAGGTGCCCTTGCAAAGCCATCTTTTATGGGGGAAAATGTACATCTGTAGAGAATATCTATTAATGCAGCAATGCCCTGCCCTCTCTGTTGGGAAAAAGCTGAGTGTTGGGAAGAAAGCAGAGGCAGGACTTGCATGTCTGACATAATGTCCTCTGGAATGTGTCTAGACTTGCTGGCTCCTTGCTTCTAGCCTTCCTAGGCTCCTAGATTGATTGTATTCCCCTTGTATTCTCAAGTAGCAGAGCATATTCCTTATAAATTCTAAACCATCACAACTGTAGATCATGCACCTGCCCTTTGACTTCCACATTCTCACCACCTGTTTCTTTGTTGGATTACCACTAAATAGCATGGGCTCCCAGGGCTTGGGGCCCTCACAGCCTCCACAGTCACAATGGCCCCCTGGTCCCACTTTACTTCTCAAACTGTCTTTTTCTCAGTCCTTTGACACTGTCGGACTTCGTTGCCCCCACAACCTGGTGTTGGGCCTGATCACCCCAACATTCCTGGCTGCCCAACATGGGGCAATGAAGACCCTGGTGAAGAAATGCTAGAGCACGTGAAATAGGAGGACGCATCATCAAAGGACACCCAAGGACGTCTAAAAGAAACTTGGCAGGAAAGCTGAGGGCTCAGAAGAACCAGTGTAACAATGGGACAAAGTGAAAGCAGACATTCTGCTTATTTAAATTTCTCAACGGGGGAGTGAAAGTCAGTACTCAGAATTTGTTATCACTCTTTAGTGCAGTAAAGCAGTTTTACCCATGGTTCCCAGAACGAGGGACTATGGAGGTGGATGAATGGGAGAGAATTGGCAGAGATTTTTAAAAAATATATAAAGATGGAGCAAAAATTCCAGTCTCAGTTTAGTCATTGTAGGTGCTAATAAAAGCAGCTCTTGAATCATTTCAAACAGATGATAAGGCAGATTCAGATGAGGAAGAGGAGGACAAGTGTAAAAAACTAACCTCAGATTCTGAATGTGAGGAACAGGAAATGGAGGAAATTAAAGAAAAGAAAGGGAAACTGAAAAAAGTATGTTTTACTAGCCCATCGACTCCACCTGCTGAATTAAGTGAAGGGCCACCTCCTCTCTCTCCTCTTAATGGGTGAGAAGATGAAATAGCTACAAAACTTACTGCTCCTGTAGTTGCAACATTAAAACCTGGAGCAATTGGTGGTGCTATACAAAATTCTATCCAAAAGGCTAGAGCCAAGGGAGACCTTGAAGCATGGCAATTTCCTATAACTATAATCCAGCAGGGAGGACAGAATATAGCTAATTGGACCACCTTTCCTTTTAAGATTTCTCCTCTCCAATTTCTACCCAGCTTAACCCCACTGCAATACAATCTCCAAGCCTTGGATCCTTGTCCAGGGCCTTAGAACTGATAACCCAGTACTTTAACAACTGGAACTGGGTCTATGACAACATAACAAATCAGGATGAAAATGAATTGAGTAAGTTAAAGGGAGGCACATATTCCTATAGTGGAAATGGGGGCAACGAGTGAACATCCTTCCACTGTGTTTCCAAAATCCACCTACAAAGGAGAGAAAGAGAAAGAGATATATGAGCAATTAAAGAAAAAGTAGTGTACCCTATTCCTTTAAAACCAGGATAAATTTAAGACCTATAATTGATAATTGAAGGTCTTCTCCGTGACCCTATAACACTCCAATACTACCTTGTTGTCAGTGTAAACAAGGGTGTAGTCCAAAAGCACATGACTTTGAGAGTTCTGTTCATGGCCCCAGGGTCAACCAACCTGTTGTTGGAACCCCGGAGCTGAATAGCTTTCCTCTCTGTCGACACTTGGCTCAGCCCAGAAGTACAGGAAAAGTGGAAGCTGGTTCCAGGCAAACCAACGTTCCCAACTCCGAAGAGTTGGGGGTTGTTGGAGAGCCCTTTCCCAGAAAGCCTGACACCTGTGTCTTTAGTCCGGCAGCCACGCCAGTTGCTTTTAACTGGCTGGCAGGTGCCTGATATTTAGCCCCCAAATTCTAAAAAAATATAGGACAGAATAGCAAGCAAAAGGGGTTCAATGGTGCTCACCACTTGGTGATAGGTGAGCACCTATCGTAGTCACCAAAATGTGTCTGGAATTTATTCCTTCCAGTGGGTTCTTGGTCTTGCTGACTTCAAGAATGAATCTGCAGACCCTTGCAGTGAGTGTTATAGCTCTTAAAGATGGTGTGTCTGGAGTTTGTTCCTTCAGATGTTCAGATGTGTCCAGAGTTTCTTCCTTCCAGTGGGTTTGTGGTCTTGAGGACTTCAGGAGTGAAGCTGGAGACCTTTGCAGTGAGTGTTACAGCTCTTAAAGGTGGCACATCTAGAGTTGTTTGTTCCTCCTGGTGGGTTCATGGTCTCACTGACTTCAGGAATGAAGCCACAGACCCTCGTGGTGAGTGTTACAGCTCATAAAGGTAGTGTGGACCCAAAGAGTGAGCAGCAGTAAGATTTGCTGTGAAGAGCGAAAGCCCAAAGCTTCCACAGCATAAGGGACCTGAGTGGGTTGCCTGGCTGGCTCCAGTAGCTTTTATTCCCTTATTTGGCCCTGCCCACATCCTGCTGATTGGTCCATTTTACAGAGCACTGATTTGTCCATTTTATAGAGTGCTGATTGGTGCATTTACAATCCTTTAGCTAGACACAGAGCACTAATTGGTGCATTTACAATTCTTTAGACACAAAAATCCTTTAGACACAAAAGTTCTCCAAGTCCCCACCCAACCCAGAAGTCCAGCTGGGTTCACCTCTCAAGACCATTGACAACCAGTAGCCTTCCTATCAAAAATCCTAACCCAGTAACCCACAGATGGCCCAATTGCATTCAGTCTGTAGCAGCAACTGCTTTCCTAGCAGAAGAAAGTAGACAAATAACTTTCTTTTAGAAGAAACCTCATTGTGAGCACACCTCACCAGTTCAGAGCTATCCTAAGAAAAAAAAAGCAAAAATGTAGCTTACTAACTCAAAAATCTTAAAGTCTGGGGATATTCTGTGAGGAAAAGGTGATTTAACATTAACCACTGAAAATTCCCTTAACCCAGCAGATTTCCTAACGAGGGAATTAAATCTTAATTACCATACAGAGGGCCGACCAGACCTAGCAGGAACTCCATTCAGGACAGGACAATAGATGGCTCCTCCCATGTGATTGAGGAAACACACACACACACACAGACACACACACACACACAGACACACACACACACACAATGGGTATTCAGTAATTGATAGGGAAACTCTTGTAGAAGCAGAGTTAGAAAAATTGCCTAATAATTGGTCTGCTCAAACATGCAAGCTGTTTGCACTCCGTCAAGCCTTAAAGTACAGAACCAGGAAGGAACCATCTATACCAATTCTAAGTTAATTTAGACTAAACAAGGTCTTATAGACAGCAAAGGATAATTGAAATTCCAAACTTACAAGGGTTTAAACAGAAGTAAAGTTTGCTAAAAGTTAACGGTGTAACATGTATTATCCTAACTTCTAGTCTTGTGGCCTTAGACAGTTTAGTCCACAGACATAAAGGAAGTTCACTTTGGAAAAGTGGTTATCTTTAAAAAAAAAAACAACTCTATCTCAATCCTGACTCAAAAGGTTACCTACATCCTCTCTGAAATGAATTTGCATAAGGACAGTTGTTTATGGGAGTGCATCTTGATGGGGTAGCTGGGTTGTTATGAAATACTCAGGAACCTAGCCCAGCTCTAGAACTCACCTCTGAGTGCAAAGGCAATGTTGGGCATGCTGGTAAAAGACCACTAGAATCCAGCAGCCTGGACCCCTTTCTTTGTTGTCAAGAAAGGCAGGAAAACAGGTGCAGGACTGCTACATCGGTGAGCATAACTAATCTGATAAGCAGAGGTCCATGGGTGGTTATGCATCTTGGAAAGGAGTAAGTATTATGACCACAGAGGATGCTCTAGGACTAATGCTCATCAGAAAATGACTAGGGGTGCTGTCATCCCTATGTTCTTTATTCAGATGGGAAACTTTCCCACAAGCCAAAACACCCCTAAGATGTATTCTGGAGAATTCGGGCCAGTCAGAGTGTATGTACCTTTTTCCCTCTCAGACTTGAAACAAATTAAAATAGACTAGGTAAATTCTCAGATAACCCTGATGGTTATATTGATGTTTTACAAGGGTTAGGACAATCCTTTGATCTGACATGGAGAGATATAATGTTACTGCTAGATGAGACACTAACTCCAAATGAGAGAAGTGCCTCCATAACTGCAGCCTGAGAGTTTGATGATCTCTGGTATCTCAGTCAGGTCAATGATAGGATGACAACAGGAAAGAGAAAAATTCCCCACAGGCCAGCAGGCAGTTCTCAGTGTAGACCCTCACTGGTACGCAGAATCAGAACATGGAGATTGGTGCCACAGACATTTGCTAACTTGCGTGCTGGAAGGACTAAGGAAAACTAGGAAGAAGCCTATGAAATATTCAATGATGTCCACTATAATACAAGGAAAGGAAGAAAATCCTACTGTCTTTCTGGGGAGACTAAGGGAGGCATTGAGGAGGCACACCTCTCTGTCACCTGACTCTATTAAAGACCAACTAATCTTAAAGGATAAGTTTATCACTCAGTCAGCTGCAGACATTAGAAAAAACTTCAAAAGTCTGCCTTAGGCCCAGAGTAAAACTTAGAAACCCTATTGAACTTGGCAACCTTGGTTTTTTATAATAGCGATCAGGAGCAGGTGGAATGGGACAAACGGGGTTAAAAAAAAAAAGAAAAGGCCACTACTTTAGTCACGGCCTTCAGGCAAGAGGACTTTGGAGGCTCTGAAAAAGGGAAAGACTGGGCAAATCGAATGCCTAATAGGGCTTGTTTCCAGTGCGGTCTACAAGGACACTTTAAAAAAGGTTGTCTGACTAGAAATAAACTGCCCCCTTGTCCATGCCCCTTATGTCAAGGCAATCACTGGAAGGCCCACTGCTCTAGGGGACGAAGGTCCTCTGAGTCAGAAGCCACTGACCAGATGATCCAGCAGCAGGACTGAGGGTGCCTGGGGCAAGTGCCAGCCCATGCCATCACCCTCCCCAGGTATGCTTGACCATTGAGGGCCAGGAGGTTAACTGTTTCCTGGACACTGGCGCGGCCTTCTCAGTCTTACCCTCCTGTCCCAGACAACTGTCCTCCAGATCTCTCACTATCCGAGGAGTCCTAGGACAGGAAGCCACTAGATACTTCTCCCAGCCCCTAAGTTGTGACTGGGGAACTTTACTCTTTTCACATGCTTTTCTAATTATACCTGAAGGCCCCACTCCTTTGTTAGGGAGAGACATCCTAGCAAAAGCAGGTGCCATTATACACTAGAATTAGGAGAAGGAAAAAGGGTAAATATATATACGTATATAGGTATGCTTACCTAGTCCTCTATGCCCACACAGCAATATGGAGTGAAAGGGAATTCCTAACTTCCGAGGGAACACCTATCAAACATCAGGGAGCAATTAGGCCCCGAAATTCTCCTTACCTCTGAATCTACTTCCTCCAATCCCTGCCTAAAGATAATTTTATGGCAAAGAGAATTTGCTTGTGTCTCTCCAGGTGACCATCGGGTGCCTGTGTGGGTGCCCACCAAACATCTGAAGATCTTTCATAAGCCACAGCATCTAGTGGACCCACCTGTACAGTGCAAATTGAAGGTTTGAAAAGCCTCGATTTGCTTTGCCTGTGCCTTCTGTTACAAGGGGCTCGTTTCTCATTATCAGTGGCCTCCCGGCTACAGCCACAAAAGTTTTTGCCTCTGTTTCAGTAGATTTACTAATATGGAGGTGAGGGTATGCTTGTGTTTTTGCAGTAGATGAACGAACCATGTGGATGCCCTCAAGATGTGTGCGACCATGGAATGGGAGACTGAAGGGACCCATGGATTCCAACCATGGACCGGGTTCCCCCAGTACGAGCCATGAGCCAGTTGAATCTGAATGTGAAGAAGGAACGAAGACCGACCAGAGTCATGGATGTTTAATGGACCAATGCTTTCCGACTCAGTTCCTTTCTACCCTGAATACAAGAGACCCTAATAGTTAGGCAGGAATATCATCACCTCTATTCAGCATGAAGTTACAGAAGATGGACCTTCATCCTTCTGCAACCCCTAGGATTAAGGGTCCTCTTGTAATAAGGGAAAGGGGAGATATGTGGGAAGCATTCAAACCAGAGTAACTCCAGTTTGAATAAGGGCTAAGAAAAATGAAGCTGGATCACCAACTGGCAATTAAAGGCTGCATAGCCTATAATTGCCTTGCTCAATTAAAAGAGGTCACCTTTTATGCTAGTAATAATGATAGTAATAATTATACCTTCTCTTTTACAAAAAAGAGAAAGGGGGCATGTTGGGAAAAAGCTGTGTTGGGAAAAAGCTGAGTGTTGGGAAGAAAGCTGAGGCAAGGCTTGCATGTCCGACATAATGTCCTCTGGAATGTGTCTAGACTTGCTGACTCCTTGCTTCTAGCCTTCCTAGGCTCCTAGATTGATTGTATTCCCATTATCTCAAGTAGCAGAACATGTTCCTTATAAATGCTAAACCATCACAGCTGTAGATCATGTGCCTGCCCTTTTGACCTCCTCATTCTCACCACCTGTTTCTTTGTTGGATTACCAATAAATAGCATGGGCTTCCTGAGCTCAGGGCCTTTGCATCCTCCACAGTCGCGATGGCCTCCCTTGTCCCATTTGACTTCTCAAACTGTCTTTTTCTCAATCCTTTGACTCCGCCAGACTTCATTGCCCCCACCACCTGGTGTTGGGTCTGATAACCCCAACATTTCTATGCCTTTCTCACATCCAGGAGAGACTCAGAATCTGATACCTTTAAAAGTCTGAAAAGAAACATTTACCATCTATTCTCTCTGAAGGAGTCTTCATGTATCTAACAAGGCCAGCTTTGCTAGCTAATGTTCTTCTTTTCTCTCTCTCTCAACCTTTCTTGCCACTCAACCTGATTTACCAGTATAACCTGTTTCTGGCCATGCTCTCAGTCTGCATTCTTTTCTGTAGCCTCAGGATAGTACTGTAAACCAAAAATGAAATTTTAAGCACCCCCAGCCAACTGAATGGACCCCTCCTCTCAGTCAATGGCATTCTAAAGTTAACCTGAGACAGGAGGTCTGGGCATGATGGAATTGGGTGATTGGATGTACCTCATTATACCCTCCTCCCTTATGGAATTCAGGCACAACTAACCAGCATTAACATTAAAACAGAGACCTTAAGATAATTTATTCTCTCTGAAGCCTGCTACCTGGAAGCTTCATCTGCATAATAAAAGCTTTTATCTCCACAATCCCTTATCCTAACCCTCTCTTGTATTGATCCCAGGTCTTTAGATAAACTCAACCAATTGCCAATCAGAAAATCCTTCTATGACCTGGAAGCCCCTGCTTTGAGTTGTTCCACCTTTCTGGACCAAACCAATATACACCTTATGTATATTAACTGATGTCTTATGTTTCCCTAAAACATATAAAACCAAGCTGTAAACCAATCACCTTGGGCACGTGTTCTCAAGATCTCCTGAGGCTGTGTCACAGGCATGTCCTTAACCATGGCAAAATTACCTCTACATTGATTGAAGCCTATCTTAGTATTGGTTTACAGTATAAAAATTTCTGTAAATCATTGAGAGGCTGGGTTTTCATTCTGAAGGCTCCCATGCATACATGTTAAACAAATTTGCAATATTGTTCTCCTGTTAGTCAATCTGGCTCATGTCAGTGATTTTATAGTGAAACTTTAGGGGTCCAAGAGCCTATGGCCCTCACAGAATGTTGGTAGTGAGGACTAAGTTCTGTTTTTTTTTGTTTTTGTTTTTAATCTTGGCCAAATTCCTACCTAAAGGGTCTGGGGAGTCATGCCCTACAAACCATAAATTCTCATCAGATGGGTTTTATTTAACCCTTTATATCATGACTTACTTTCCAATCTGACTCTGGCATAGCATTATGAGACAAGGAAGAAAATAAAAATATTTTACCCCAGAACATATTTCTCTGCCATATCTTGAAATTGCCCAGCAAAGTCTTTTGTGGGAAAAGTCCACATTCTATAGGAAATCCCCTTTCCCCTTTGTTTTCTTTCTTTCCTTTCCATATCCAGGAGATAATCAACTAAGAGACAGGCACCCTTTTAAGTCCAGTAAGAAGCATTTTACAACCTGCTCTCTCTCTCTCTGAAGTCTGCTATCTGAGAGATTCCTCTGCACAATAAAACTTGGTCTCCACAATCCTTTATCTTAACCTGAACATTTCCTTTGATCCCAAGTCTTCAGATAAACTTAATCAATTGTCAGTGAGAAAATGTTTAAATTTACCTATAGCCTGGAAGTTTCCACTTTGAGTTGTCTTGCCTTTCTGAACCAAATCTATGTATTTCTTAAATGTATTTGATTGATGTCTCATGTATCCCACAGATATATAAAACCAAGTTACACCCTGACCACCTTGGACACATGTTCTCAGGACTTCCTGAGGGCTGCGTCACAGGCCATGGTTGCTCACATTTAGCTCAGAATAAATCTCTAAACATATTTTACAGAGTTTCACTCTTTGTCAACAATAGTTTGGTGCCCAAACACATGGGGCCTCAGATAAGACTCAGGACCCCGAAGGAGTTGCCCAAACTCAGAGCTAAGGTACCAGCAGGGCCCACTGAAGCCTACCTGACTTTGAGCTTCTCCTCCGGTGGAACTGGTAAGTCCTCCTGAACCCCAGACCTCCCTTTGGTTGATGGTCCTTGATTTATTCTGAGTTGGTTTTCTCCTAGGAAGTTGTTGTTTCAGGATCCTTATTCTAGTTCAGAGCTGCATTCTACATGGAATTCTCTCTTGCTTTTTCTCCTAAAATTTATCTTGATTTGGTTCATCCGTGCGCATTTGCTTAAGGAACTGAACTGTTGTTTTCATAGATAAATGAGAGACTGAATTTTTTAGCTCCAAAGAGAAAGGGCATTTGCTCCTCCTAGTCAAAAATGTACCCTGGGTGACCAAGGGCCTTGTGGGAGTGTCTGGGGGGTTGACCCTCCCCAACATGCAGCAGCCCTACAGGGAAATCCCCAACAAAAATTAATTTAAAATTGCTCATCCAGCAAATGCATATAACGGCTGATCACCCAGGGTTTTGAGCCCTCTCAGAGGTCATAGACCTCTGGAGAGAGAAACCCAGACACCTGGGAGGGCAGGAATGACTCAGTGGTGATACACTGTGGAGTCCTGCCCACAAGCAGCACACATTGATCCATCACACAAAAACCCTAGGCTACAGCTCAGTTCCTCCTTTTAAGAAGAAAAAAAAGTGAGAAACAAATCTAAGAATAAGGAGAAAACAAGGAGAATGATCCTTTTCTGGGCACTCTGTAGGTTTTATGACATCTCTACTTGCCAGAGTTTATATAAAATAGAAGTAATATGGTCTTCGTGCACATTTACATTAAGGAAAAAGATTCCTAAGGTCGACCTGCAAACTATAGAGTACCTAGGTTCTATTTTCTTTTCTGCCTGCTTTAAATGTGCTGTTACTTTTCTACTGAGATAAAAACCACCGTTTGGATCTAACTGTTTTTTGCAAGCTGGCAAAGTTGTATTTATCCCATGGCTAAAGTACTGAAGTAATAGCTATGGGAACTTTGTGTGTGTGTGTGTGTGTGTGTGTGTGTGTGCATTTAAAGGCCTTTATCATAGGCTTCTATAATTTCATGTTCAACTGGCAATTGAATCCATTTTAATTTCCCTCTAGCATACCAGACTTTCTCTTTGTACCTTATGATGTAAATTTTACTATCTGATTTCACCTGAGTTGCCTTTAATATGCAAATTTAAGGCTATTTAGCTGACAACTGCCTAGGGTAAGATTTTTTAAAATGGCAAAAAGAAAAAGGTCTTTATGAGTCTATACAATGTGCTTCTACCAGCATGCCTAATACATCATATATTTATGTGTGTGTATACAATATTTTCACGACTAAAAATATATGAAGAGGCTGGGC